AGTGTCCGGATTTTACACGTTCACTCACTAAACTACAAGTGTCCGGAGCCGCATCGCCCTGCTACAACTGGATCATCAACTGCAGGCCCGCGGGCCACTTTAGGTTTGTTGCAGGGAGCTTTATGGCCACTAGGGGTGACATAAACATATCTAATGATTTTTAACATTTGTTGATACTTTTACAATTTAAGACAAATGAAAAGACCCGATGCTTGTAAAGAGGGACTTAATTAAATTTAAATTAATAAAAAATAGGAACTATTCAAGGTTCTTTATTGTCATTCGCATCACATGTGGTACATGAGGTGGAACAAAATTGTGTACTCAAGGTCCCAGTTGCACCCAAAAAATAGCAAAAATATAAAGTATATAAAAAAAAGAAGCAGTATACAAGGATCTAAGATATACGCTAAACAATAATAATGTAATATAATACGGTGTGTTAAACAGCAGCCTGAACATGAGCTATGCAGACTTATTTAACTTTTTTAATTGTGGAAAAATTAATTAAGTATAGAAATAAAGTTAAAGTATGTTTTACTCCTTGTACTTGTTCCAGTATCCACATATTAGCAAAAGAAATGACAGGAAAACTGCTAAAACTAGTCCCTTTTTGTTGTTGTTTGTATAACAAGAAATAAAATTCAGTTTTGTGTTAGTGTTGGTCAAAGCTTGAAAGAGCCTCTGTGGAGGAACCAAAGAGCCGGTGGCTGCAGAGCTGCAGCTGCAGACCCCTGAGGTTACCCATAGATCCTCTGCAGCATCTTGAGGGATGTGAGTTCTTGTGCATTTGGTTGCATGGTGGACACGTGGTTGTCTCACAGTAAGAAGGGTCTGGGTTCAAGCCCTGAACTGGGTCTGGGGTCTTTCTGTGTGGGCTTCTCATGGTGTATGCTCCAGGTCCAAAACCATCAGCCTTCAGGCCCAGAACTCCTTTAAAAAGAGATCTGTGATCTCAGTGAGGTGTGCCTGGTCAAATAAGGGTTGGTTAAAAAAAAAAAATCCACATCTATTATAACATATGACTTTTTATGTTTTCATTTTAAATTTTTGTATATGTGTATTATTTATTATAACAAATAACCACTACGTGCACATAACTCGCTGCCAAAAGTGCTCAATTTGTGACAAATAAACAAAATCAACAGTCATGTTGTGTTGCCAACAATTCCAAGTTGTTTGTTTACATGTGAACATTGACGAGCGCACTTTGCACAGTATTGGCGTGTGGCAGATATTCAGTCAGTAAACTAACCCTTGGATGTCAACAGAGTCAGAGGAGAACAATGAAATCAGAGATGCCAGATTGAAAGAAAAGAAAAACTTCCTCTGAAAAGAAACAAAAGCAGTGAGGGCAGGCGTCGACCGAAGAGTCGTTCTGGGGGAGGAAACTGAGCGGGGGAGCGTGCTGGGGCCACGATCATACTGAGCCGTGCTCAGACTTTAGTTGTGAACAACGGTGAGGAACATTTGCTACTTTATAAAAACCCTGAGGAGTCTGAGTTACATTAACCCCAAACAATCATTTAATAATGTAGAAATAGAATTAAAAGTCTAATTAAAACACTGAAAATTGGCATATTTTGACAACTATTATGGCGTTAAACTGGTTCTGAGCAAAAGACGCTTGCATGCCTCTGAACAAGGCAGTAGTAGTTTTACCCTCGTGTTCGTTCTCTGTCCTGTTAGCAAAATAAACCGGACGGATGTTAATGAAGATCTTGAAAATTAATCTAACCTAACAACGTTTGGAGTCAGTCCCTTTCAAGATGGCTGCCAGAGACGAGCGACCTAAGCAAACGCATCAAATGGACATTTTTACAAACGCTGAGCTATAATCGGTCTGGACGTAGCTGAGAGTCGTCTCCAACAGACGCTCCGAGCACTTTTCACAAGACTTGTTCAGGAAAATGTTCCCTTCACTGTTTGAGTCACCTTCAGATTTTAATGAACATGTGAGGAAGCAATCATTGGATCCACAGCCATGAACATCTGTGATGACCTGCACCTAAGGGCCACCACAGCTAACACCTTAAAACTCTAGCGATAAAAGGCGGCGGGAGAGTTCTTTTTCCAGGCTTTCCTAATAATTTGATTTTTCACTGAAAGAAAAACAAATTGGGAACGGTTTCGAACTTTTGCACAGGGATAAAGTGATTTATGGACTACTTTTATTTTAGCTGCATTTTCACTGTAGTTTATTGTTGTGATTGTTTACTGTTATTGTTGTCTGTACTTTATATGTTCTGTCTGGAACAGGTCTCATGTAAATGAATCCTCACGTGAAACTAGCCTGTATAAATAAAGGTTGAATGAATGAATGACCACAGCTGTAAAGGTTTTAACATATAAATAAATATGAAATTTACAAAACTTCAGGCCTTTTTTTATCTGATTTGTTTAATAATGTGGGCAGTTCCTACATTATTTATTATAATTAAAGTTATGCAATCATAAATATCAGAGATTTGGTGCAACCTGGATATTTCCTGTTTTTGTTTTTTTACATTAAAAGCATTAAAAGTGTTTTAAAAAAAAAGTGGTGAAAAAGACAAAATGATATTGAAAGTATTTGCAGCTGTAAGACAAGTGCCTGAGTACATTTATTTAATAATTCTAATCATTCCTGGAGTCAGAGATCCCACGAGACGAAGCTCTGAATGTGTCCGCCCAGTTTTCCTCCTCCTCATCGTTTCTCCTCCATGTTTGTCACAGTTACAGAAAAGAATTATTTCCACATCAGTCACGTGATCATTTTGCAGAAATGCCCAGTAAAACAGCTGAGATGACGTTTTTCACAGCTCCATGCTTCCCTCTCCTTACCAGTGTCACAGGTCATGCTCCCCTGTTTTGTGCCGGGCTGTTGTCTCTCTGGGGGAGGGGGAGCCTGTCTTTCTTTGTTGTGCTGGATTCTCAGGGCGAGGCCCCGGCACCGAGCAGGCAGCGGCGAGCAGAGGGGGAGACGGGCAAACGCTGGGGGGGTAGCCTAATTATGAGACCATTCATTATTGCACCAACAGCTGCACAATCCTAAAATATTATAGCGAGCGTTCGGAAACGCCCCGTTTATGAAATCCCACTTAATCCTTGTATCCATGGCGATGTGAGGGCAGCACGTGCTCTGTTACAAAGTGTCTGAAAAGGGTTTGTTTTCCACCACGACCTCCAGCCAGGCCCACCGTCCAACAAGCGTTAACGTTAGGCTTGAGGGTCCACCATAAAAAGGTTGTGAAAGCCTCTCTGGAGGATCAGGTTTCTCCAAGATGGAGGCTAAACACAATAACGTCGTCCCATTGCAGCGTCTGCAGAGTCTCTTTGACGCGAGCAGATCTTAACAGAAAGAGCAGCTCTCGCTTCTTCTGCCCAGCGCACGGTCGTAACGACGATTCAGACAAGTTTACGCTTAACAGCCGAGAATAAGACACTGACGTCCGTGGAAGAGCCGTCCAGGGTCTGACAGTTCATTGATTTTGATATTTACGCTCAGATTTGTTGAGTAAAGTGAGCAGATCTGTTTGTTTATGTACAAAGACTGCAGGTAGGCCTGTCGATAAACAATAAATCAATTAATCTTATCATTTCTTCGAGTCTCTCTCCTTCTACTGAAGACACTGGATGACAAAAGGCTCAACTCCGGTGCTCTTCACTGACCCCTCCCTTGCTCTTTTCTCTTTAAAATTTGTTATAACTGTCCAAAATCATGTTTATGGATCATTAAAAGCAGCTAAGCTGAGAAGCTAAGCTATGAGCTAAGCTAACAGGCCGACCTCGGGAAAAAAACTTTGTCTTGTCGAAGCTCCAAAATTCACGGTTGAAACCTGTGCCTTCGTGTAAAAAGTTGTTTTTCTCTGCAAAAAGAATCTGAGAAATTGTTTACTGATTTTTTTATTAAAAGCTTTGTGTGAAAAATGCTAAAGAAACCACAAAGAGCGTCCGCCATTTTGAGAACCGAAGAGAGACAGCCCATGTCACGTCAAGGGGCCTCCCTCCCATTTTTCTTATAGAGACACGTTGCTCGCTCCCTCACTATCCATCCTTCGGTTCAGTCTTATACTGCCATCCAGTGGTCAAAAAAAGGTACTAAACGCAAAACAAATAAACATTTCTTCTTAAATTTGACAATAATTACTAATTATTGTCAAATTTCAAATAATATTATCGTTTATCGCAATAATTTCTGAGACAATTAATCACACCAGTAAAATTTGTTATGGTGACAGGCTGGGCCGGATTTTAGCAGGGGCTTACAGGGGCTGCAGCCCGGGGCCCCGGCATTTCAGGGGCCCCGAAGGATGTTTTATGTTTTTGTGAATGGATAGTGTCAGAATTTAATCAATGACTATGATGATTTTGACAGCACCGATGAAAAATGTTCCAATTTGTTCTGGAAAACGTCCATCTTGAATGCTTGCTTGTTATTGGTCCACTTTTGACGCATCTTAGGCATTGGGGAGGAGCGTCAGGGAATATTATTTTACAATGGCAGACAACAGTGTTTGTGGTTCTAGTTCCTCCAAATAAGATGAATGCAGAAGTGTCATTAATAAATGGAAATCTGTATTTTGTTCTTCATATTTTTCAAGATGTTCTCTGTAAAAACCTTGGTCTCTCTCTCTCTCTATATATATATATATATATATATATATATATATATATATATACATATATATATATATATATATATATATAGGGCCCCC